ATATCTCACTAATTTGAGGCAATTCTGATTCAGAAATAATCATGGCTTAGAGTGGGTCCAAATTAAAGGTTATCTTAAGAAAGTTGTAGGGAAAAGATTACTTAATTTTATAATCATTCACAGACATTTTGTAAATATCAAATTTTATGCTGTTATTCTTAGACTAGATGAGACAAAGCCAGTTTGAATTAATGAAAAACATGATTAAAATTTGTTTGTTTCACCTTATATAGAAGCTTGAACTATGGTGGTAGAAGTTTTAGGGGTACATTCCTTAATGAGTAGATGAAAATCTCATTATTTCTAATATTTTTATGTAAATAGGTGTTCAGAAGTTAATCATTATTGCTTCTCAGATAGTTAAAACAATGGCAAAAGCCCTCTAAATCATCTCATCTCTATTAATAATGCTACTGTTCTTCCTCAGATTATTTGGCCTTGAATGGAAACCAGTGGTCCTCTCTACTGGTTTCCTTCAAATATTAATGAAAGAGGTCAGAGTGCCATGTGCTTTTATTCATGCTACTCTGCTTTATCCTTGGGACATCCCTAAGCCAGAGGTGATTTCCCCTTTTTATCGAAGAGGAAACTCCTTGTCTAGCAAATTAATTTTAAATAGCTCAACCTGGCATTTGGTAATCTGTTATCAAGAGCTTGCTTCAGCCTTCTCTTCACATACTCCCATATTGATATCCTGAAGTTTATACTGCACCTTCTTTCCCCAGGACTTACCCTCTCTTCACTGCATTCAGTGCCCCATTCATGCCTGGGTTTCTCCTCCACTCTTATTTATTTGGTTCAAAGTGTAAGTTTTCTTTGTCTAATTTTCTCTTTTCTCTGAACTTGTGTAGCACCGAAGGTATGATGCGCTGGCATTAATTAAAAAAAAAAAGTCTGTTGATGACTCATTTTATAGTTAAGGAAACCAAGACACAGGTTAAGTAGTTTGCGCTCGGGCATAAAACTAGCAAATGCAGAAAACTGGTGCAGATTGCTCTTGTGGCTCTTTGGATTTGATGGAGGACAAATTGGATACAGGGCAAGACCATTAAAGAGGATATTCTAGACATCTAGATGATTGAGGTCTGAACTAACTTGATAACAGTAGGAGTGGACAGAAAAGGATGGCCAGGAACAATAATTAGAGAATATGAGAGGGATTTGGAAATTGAATGTAAGAATTGGCGTGGAGGAAAGGATTCAAATTAGTTTTTTAATGAGGTTAGTGCTCAGCCTAGGTTTCATTGAGACGGTGGCATTTATATATATTTTTTCATATTTTTACTCTCAAACCTCCTGTTTGTCCTGAGCAAAACATTTAAGGATCAAAGGGGATTTCAGCTGAGAATAATCTAAAAGCTTTATATTCCATCTTGTCAAAGATCTGGGACTAAGCAGTGTTCCTGCCAGTAGTAAAATGAATATAATACTAATCTTATGGGGAGAGTTCCTGACTCAAATGAGAGAGCAACTGTTATAGGGGCTTAGTAACATCAGCCTATCATTCATTTGGCACTTGTGTACTGCTTAAGCTCACTACTGTGTCAGCTTTAGGGAAGCAGCAACAGACAATACCCACAAGGTCTTTCTTTCCAATGAACACAGAACTTAATAAAGGTGATTGACTGCAAACAAAATTATTAAAACTGTCACAGATCTCACAAAAGTGAAGCCTGAGAGTGGGTGAATCCAGTCTCATCTTGCGACCCATGGAAGGTGTCCCTGAGTATATGACATTTTAGCTGGGTATTTAAGGGTGAGTAGATGTTTTCTTACTTGTTTTTTTTTATTCTAATACTTTTAGCACCCTAAAGCAAACCAGTATTCAGGACTCTTCAAATCACACCTTTCCTATCCTTGTCTAAAGCTTATATTTGCACAAGCAAATACGTTCTCTTTCTTTAAGTTCAGAACGTGCATATGGTAGAAGGAAATGGTCTTGAGAGTCAGGAGACCTGTGTTCTCTTTGCTGATCTGCTACTTCTCCTGTGTGTATGAGCAGGTTACCCTAAGGAGGGAATGCCTTCCTATGAGGCAGACCTCTCTGTCAGCTCTGCATGGACTGAGTCCAGCTGTGCTGTGTTCTCTGGCACTTACTTTTGTTACCCTCAGATCTCTAGATTCCAGATCAGCACTGACCAGAGTTTCTCACAGCCACTTTTCATGTGTTCCCCTGACAGGCCCGTCTTCCCAAGCCTCAGTGATGTTTCTAGTGCTCTGAAGAATATTAAAGATGATACCTAATGGACATTCCTTTCCTCTTTCTGTTTCCTTGCCTTTTTTTTTTTTTCCTTGTCTAGGATAGAGCAGCAAGTTGATGTAAAATGTGTACTTCTGTGTCCCGCTTGATCTTCTTTGGCACTTGTGATGTTCCTGGTGTGATGCATATACCTCTTTCCTCAGTCTTATAAAGACCACTCACCAGGCCTTGAAGTAGTGGCAGAAGAGGGACTGTCATGGAGTGTACAGGCCAGCCAGCACCTTTCAGACCAAAGCAGGCCACAGCATGTCACTGCCTCACTTGCCTAGATAGCTGTGCTTGTTCTGTGATGGATTTGTGTGTGGTCATTCATGCTTAAGCACGACGGTGCTGTGATCTCCGCATGGGAGGCTCAGGCACTCAGTGGAATAGGCCTGTGATGATGAGGAAGTCATTTCATCTCTCTGAGCCTCACTGTCCACTTTGTACAATGGAAGTTAAAATAATTTATGTTGAGGTGAAATAAAGTAATACATCTAATAGACCCACCTAGTATAATTTTACCTCAGGACCCCCATATGTTTGTGTGTTTTAAAAATCCATTCCAGACTAAAGTGTGTGTGCTTGTGTGTCTATAGCTGTGATGTTTATGAAACTAGGGTCATGGTGTTTGTTCTTTACTACCTTATATGACCATGCAAGGCAGAGAGGAGTGTAACAAGAATGTTACCACAAACTTAAATGATTTTGGCTTAGAAGTTTGAACTAAAAGCGTTTATGTAGCTTCTGATTACTTTGCGGTTGCTGGACCAGGGCATCCATTTCCCCTTTTATTTCTCTCTTCTCCCTGCCACTCCCACCTGAGAAATATTAGGTATGTTTTGGCTTGGCTTGCACTTGTAGAATTAGTAGAAGAAACAGCATGGGACCAGGAGAACCTTTTCTATTTAAGGCCTTCTTAATGTTAATATGTCCAAAATAAATGTACCCTTGAAATTAAATGCTATAAAATAAATCTTTAAAGCCCTAAAAGCTGTAACCCCAGGTTTTGTACCAAGAGAAAGAGAAATTTAACAATTTTGGTCATTTCAAAATCAAAATATTTAGTGATCAGTAAACATAGGGAAAAATATTCAGCCTCATTAGTAATAAAAGGAATATAAAACAAAATGTTGCCAGGCTATTTTTACCAATAGTATTAGCAGGATTTTTGTTTTTTTGTTTGTTTTAAGAGTGAGAGCAGGGTAGAGAGAGGGTAAGAGAGAATTTTAAGCAGGCTCCACGTTCAGTGTGGAGCCCAATGCGGGACTCGATCTCACCACCCTGAGATCATGGCCTCAGCTGAAATCAAGAGTCAGATGCTTAACTGACTGAGCCACCCAGGTGCCCCAGTATTGGCAGTTTTTAAAAGTAAGAGAAAGAAAGGAGGAAGAGAAGTGTTGAATTAGGCACCTTGTACAGGCTGATGGAAGTATAAGCAGTAAACTTGCCTTCCTCTAAGGCAGTTTAATAGTATTTACTGAAGACTGTAGACTTGCTAATGCCTTTGACACAGTAATTACAATTCTGGGAGCTAGCCTAAGGAAATAATCAGAAATGGATATAAATATAATTATAACATCAGGAACTTGGAAACAACCTAAATGTCTAACAATGAGGGATTGATTAAATGAAATATGAAAATATATGCAGTGGGTTTTCTGCCATTAAAAATGGCAAACTGGACAAATAAAGATGGGGAAAAGTTTGTAAAATGATGTACATTGAAAAAAGCCCAAATCAGCATGAATCTAGTATTTTGAAATATAATCTTTTTATATACACTGTGTGTGTTTATGTGTGTGATGGCAGTGAAAAAAATACATCAAAGTAAATCATTATCTCTAGGCGATGGAAATGCTGTTGGTTTTTATTTTCGTCTTTGGACTTTTGTGTAATTTCCAAATTGTTACGTTTATACCCAGAAGAAGAAAGCCCATAATTTAAAGATGCATACTCTGGAATACTGTGTACTGATATAACTATGTGAAAATGTAAGAAAAACTAGCTTACTGGGAATTACGACAGAATGCCATCTGTGACTTCTGATAGGGTGATGGGACTTGGTGGTGGTGGTTTTTTTCCCTCCACTTTTCTTGAGAACTAATTGACTGACATTCATCACTATATGTAGAGAGTATGATGGTCTGATTTACATATATCGTGAAATGATACCACTCAGCTAACATCCATCATTTTATATAGATAAAATAAAAGGAAAAGAAAGAAAGGAAAAGAAATTTTCTCCCTTTGATGAGAACCCATAGCACTTCTCCTCTACCAATTTTCAAATATTCTATAGAGCAGTGTTAGCTATTGTCATCATGTTGTACATTACATCCCTAGTACTTACCTGTCCTATAACTGGAAGTTTGTACCATTGACCACCTTCATCCAATTTTCCCCCCTCTGGTAACCACAAATCTGATCTCTCCATGGGTTGTTTTTGGGTTTGTTTATAAGATTTCACATATAATTTGAGTTCCTACATTATTTGTCTTTTTCTGACTTATTTCATTTAGTATAAGGTCCATCCATTGGCTCTTGAATAGTTTTTCTTTAATGTGCTTCTACTAAGAATATATCTTCTATTAGGAAAGCAAATATAAAATAAAGATAGAAAAATACTCTAGAAATCAATGCCTCATTTAGGTAGAGGTAGTACTTACTAGATATTCTCTTGTGACTTTTGTCCATCTTGAGGATGATGAAAAGTAGTAATGATGGTGGTAAATGATAGATGTTTTCTTTGCTCCTACAGATATTCCTGAAATTCCAGAAAGCATCTCATTCTGTAAAGCACTGCAGATAGCTGACTTCAGCGGAAACCCACTGACTAGGTAACCTTTCTGCTTGCTTTGCTGTCTATAGTACTGAGGATACCCTCTTTGAGAACCAAACCATGAACACAACCTGGTCAGCCATCGTGGGGGTACCCAGATGGATGGCTATCTTTATCAAAGATGATTGACCTACGGGGCGCCTGGGTGGCTCAGTGGGTTAGGCCTCTGCCTTTGGCTCAGGTCATGATCTCAGGGTCTTGGGATCGAGTCCTGCGTTGGGCTCTCTGCTTAGTGGGGAGCCTGCTTCCTTCTCTCTCTCTGCCTGCCTCTCTGCCTACTTGTGATCTCTGTCAAATAAATACATAAAATCTTAAAAAAAAATGATTGACTTTCACAGATACTTGTTTATAAATCACACTGTGCAGTAAAAGATGCACATGTGCTATTGATGGAACATTGAACAGATATTGGGTGAGGGGAGGCACCATGTAGTAGTATACAAAACAGGAGTGAGGACTACATTTCTGAAGCCATGTGAAGCACCGAAGTAGTTCATAGATACTCTGTACTCTATTGCTTATCTTGTGGGATAAGGCTGAGTTCTAAACTCCCAGAGAGCTTACCCTCTAGTTATCCAAGAAGTCCTAATAAGGGATGTTTTTTCCACTCCAGTAATGAAACATATTTACTGTCTCAACTTTCCTCCAACTCTTCCTTTAAAACAAACAAGCAAAAACTCTGCTCACATCACTGTTCCCTTACTTTAGCAATAACTGTGAGGATTTCTTTGGGGTTATTCTTCCACATAGAGCCACCTGTCACTGTTCTACTACTGATTCCGATCTTGCTTCTTCTGGTATGACACAGCACCTGCCTGGGCATAGCTGAGTGGTACTGTTATAAGCCCCTCCTCATGGCTGCTGGCTGAGTCATGAGGCCACTGATCACTGCCTTCCAGATGCCTGTGTTGCCAGGTTACCTGAATTGTTGTACACCTGGCAATGCAGAGGCAGTCCTCAGGAAAAGTTCTTAGAGGTACCTCTAACCCGGGTGGGTCCATGTCTATGATTTCTAGACCCTGTAAGCAGCCTCAGAATAAATGTATTCTTCCCACTTCCCTTCTGTTCTTTTTTTTTTTTTTTTTTTTTTTTTAGGAAAATTGAGATGAGGTTAAAATTTGGGATACATATCACCCATTGCTTGGGTCTTTCTGGGTATGGACTGCCAGGGAATGTCTATTTGGTGTTGTTTTCCCCATATCTGGTATTTTTAAGAAGTAAATATGTTTTTAAAATATTTTTGATTTTCCTCTTTTGGATTTCAGTGACTATGTTACTAATAATATCTATTTTTATGAAAAGCAGTAAATTCAGTAAGCTCTAACTTATCGCTGCCCTCGAGTCTTGTCTTCTTTCTTAACCATCATCCATACAGTTGTCCCCGTTCTTCAGACCTTTCTGTAGTCCCTGTCCCTAAGGTAAAGTCCTTGCTTCTCCAGGTGTTATGCCGCCTCCCCTTCCTTGTGTCTGAGCTTGGCCTGTCTTTGACGTTCATTGCCCTCGGTTGCCTGTGTCAGACGTCACACTCGCTGTTATAAAGTACTCATAGGTCATTTGTTTCACTCTCTGCTCTTTCTGCACTCCTGTAAGGTATATATTCCGCATGACATTTCTTTGGGAAGCCTTTACTTACTCCCCAGAATCCCCTCTGCGGGGCTTCTGAGATGTTCAGTGTGTACTTTTTTCATTAACACTTGGAACTTATATTTAAGTTTTCACCTTGACCAAGACTTCCCAATTAAACTGAGAAAGTTAACTTATATTCCTCTGTTGTTTATCATTTTATCTTCAGCTCTCCCTTAATTTCTGGAATGGAGTGAACTGAACTAAGCTATTTATCCTTAAGGCAGCTTGTAGGTTTAGGCAGCTGGGAAATTCTCATTATGCTGCCCTGGAGGTTTTTTTCCTTTTTTTTTTTTTTTTTTTTAAGCCATTCAATTGCTTAATCCCCTTTTCTACCTCTTTAGTTTTCCTTTTCTAATGCCTGCTGACACATGACTTTAGCATTATCTCAAAATTCCCTGGACCAGAACACACCCACATTGTAGGAGGCTTTACTCAGTTTTTATCCTGGCTTCACATTTGGGAGGTTTCTTAAAGCCTTTTTGATTTGGCAGGTGCACTCCTTTAAGAATTATGACGACTTATCTGTGAGTGGAAAGGACCTGAAACATTATTGAGTTTGACCTACTTATTTTATGGCTGAAGAAATGAGGCTGAGAGGCTAAATGACCTTCTGAGATGATGTGACCTCTGAGTGGCAGCTCAGACTAGAATTCCCTTCTTTGAGCCCGATGTCTGTGCCTCACACTTACCGGTTCAGCCCTTAATGCTGACAGCCAGTAAAAAAAGGAAGTCAGCCATTTAAAAATATATTTTCTTTATATTGAAGATCATTTTAGCTAGTTTTATAAAATGATATGTACTTTAAGTAGAAACTCAGGTAAGCAGATGCAGTTGCATCTTCTTAAGTATAAATAAAAAATCTTACCTCTGTTATGCTATGGAAGAGGTTTCAACTTTGTTGAAACCATTCCTGAGAATGTATCTCAGTCATAATAAAATCATAGAACTCTCATCTTGCAGGGCTTGGATTTTCTTTTGAAGCTTAGAATTACCTATATTTTATGTTAAACAGTAACCTAGAATTTGCTTTTTAAAAAAAGGAACCTAGAAAAAGAAAAAAAAAATGAAAGACTCTAATGCAGAGGCTATCGCTAAAGCAAGAAGTTCTTCCTACCCCTCCTCCTCCCCCTCCAAAAAAAAACGGGTCATGTGTTCTGTTGTCTATATCAGCAGATTTATGTATAAAGACCTTTGGCATTTTAGATTCAACAAGATCTTTTTAACTTTAGTTTTTTTTTTCCTCCGTAACTGGAAGTAACCATAGAAATACTGAAAGTGAGCTTTCTTTGCAAGTTTTTGAATATTTTTATTTTGAAATCTAACTCTTCAGTAGAATTTAAGGGAAGTATAAAAAATTTCCTTTTGTGTAGAACATAGTGAAACATATAATAATCTCAAGTGACTGGCATCTTAAATAGAGTTAAAAGAAAAATATTAAGAAAGCGGCAATTGCTGTCAATTGATCACTTCTGAGTAATTCATAGCCTTGCCTTGGGTATTATAATCTACAGAACAAAAATTATTAAGCTGTTATCCTATGTTTTATTATAATCTTCTGGGCTAAACTTTCTTTATTTTCTGCTAATCAATCAAGTGTTTTCACTCATAGTCACTTTCCGCTTCAGCAGCTGTTTATCTGTTTCTGCCACAGCATTTGTTCTCCTTTATTCTGAGAGCTTGCATATCTTTTCTAATTATTTCTGGATCCCCCCACCAAGCATTTATCATGCCTCTGTACTTCTAGGTAAACTGAGCCTTGGATTTTGTTCCTTATCAGTGCCTTCTGTCTAGGAAGACAAGGCAAACATGCCTTTTATACTTTAGTTTACAGGAGGTTATTTCAATTAACATATGGCAGAACTCATTGTATTTATGTCTAGTTTACACTGTACATGCACTTTTCTTTTTCAGTTAACAACATTTTGTTGTCATTGCTGTTTCAGATTGCCAGAAAGCTTTCCTGAATTACAGAATTTGACGTGTCTTTCTGTAAATGACATCTCACTGCAGTCCCTGCCTGAAAATATTGGCAAGTAAGTTTTTTGTGAGGTTTGTGTATGTCAGGGTGGAAGGGTGTTTATAGCATCCACTCCAGCCTCCTCTTTTACAGCTCTGATTTTTCTACTCAGAAAGCCTCTTACCCAGTCTCAAATCTCACCCTAAAGAAGGATCATAACCTGACTCCAGTATTTTTTGCTTTCAGTTGCCCCTAAATTTTTAGGGCCAGAAACGATAATGCTGCTTGTTACTACTGAAAAACCTAATTTGTTTGGACATGCTCTTCAAACTGTTGGATTCCAAAGTAGTTAACTTAAGCAAACAAGGTCACTCCAGTCGTATAGGCAGCTAATAAATTAGGTAGTCGTAGTGTTAGGAACTATCACCCTTGGCAATTTTATTGAAAACTTGGAGTGGGTACCCCTGAACAACGGCTGTGTCCACCAGTGTTTGTCCATACAGACCAGAGAATAGTGGGGGAGGGGGGACGGTGTGTTTGGAGAGCAGGTGTGGAACTGGGAGACTGATGGGTTGGGATGAGTACATTTCCACATTCCTGGCTTAGAGGTCGGGGAGGACGGCTATGGCAAGAAATAAAAATGTTCTCTTACTCATCCCCTCAGATGAATTAATTATCTCAGCAGATCTTTTCCGTACCTCCAGGACATACAGTGGGTTAAGTCAGGCTCATGATTCATGCCTTACCACCTAAACTAAAAGCCCAACCTGGCCAACCAAAGCTGGCGGACCAGTGTTCCCCAGGGTCATAAAACACTTCCTTTGTGCTCACCTGTCCTGCCTGAGTCCTAAGGCAAAACAGAAATTTCGTTTTTGAGAACTGCAGTGTGTCTGACAGATGTCTGTTCTGCAAAGGGTCTCTCTCCAGAGGTCTGTGGAAGTAGCCTGTTTTTCACAGACAAGTTTGCCCTCTTCTCCCTCCTATGCAGGTGGAAGACAGCCTGCAAGTTCATGCTTTTCTGAGATGCAAGCTGTTTAAACATTTGTCAGTAGACTTGCTGATGCAGTTTTGTGTCCTTAATGTCTCAGGAGGGGAAGGAGACAGGAAGCCCCCAGTATACTCTGAGTTTATGGGATCTGTTGCAGAGGAAACAATAATGTCTTACTGTGGATTTCATGACTTACCGCTTTTGCTGTGTCAAGATTCATGTATTTCTAATGAATATAGTAGTAGCCATTTAAAGATCTAAACTGACTCCTCTTCCTCCTCAGGAATCTCTGGAATCTAATTCCCTTGATACCCTCCTTCCTATTCCTTCTCAGCCTACCACTGCCTGCTTGCTTGTTCACCCCTTCGGTCTCCCAATTCATATCCTTTTTAACAAGCCTGAATGCTTTAAGAGAAAATATGTTCTTATAGACAAAAGTACCCCTGTCACTTCCCACTGCATTGTTTTAGTAAAAAGTGTTACTTAATAATAATTTTAGAATAAATTACATATCCTTTGTTCCATCTTTTCTCTTAGTATCTGTACTCTGTCAGTGTTTAGGATTTCTTGTTTATCTGCATATTCTGTCAATAGTAAGGGTACTGTTGTGTTTTGTTTTGATTTTAGACTTAATCATCTTGTGCTACTATTATGGCCTTATGTATACTGATTGATTCTAAAATAAACTCTCACTTTGAATTTGTACCCTGTGGTGAATCATCACCCAGGAAATAAGAATACGGGGCAGATAAGTGAATCAACTATTTCCTATTAGGTCAATTTGTGAAAATGAAAAATGGGGAGTTTTCTGTTCCTGGTTGTTGTTATTATTTTTAATCAAAGAAGAGACTCCATGATTTCTACCTGTTGGATTTAAGATTTATGCACACTAAAGTAACAGCAAGTTTTCACTTAGTAGAAAAGAACAAAGAACAGACTCCTTAGAAAAGATTGGGCACCTCTGGTGTCCTAGACTGTGCTGGAAAGGACCTTGAAACAGTTGAAATGGCAAATTGTTGTGGAAATTGCATATATGCATAAGTATACTACATTTTTAAGCAAGTCAGTATTTGAAACTTACGGACTTACCTCATAAAAACAATTCTTCAGTTTCCCAGGGGATTCCCAGATGGTTTCTTGAGCAAATGGTTCTAGAGCACTGAACCAAATATTTAGTAACCAAACAGCTACTCAGAGATAGTATGGTTTTATAATTCAGGCACAAACATTTGATATTCCAAAAAAATTTGAAAAAGACATGAATGGACATCTGAATGATCAGCGTTACTGTTATCTTTGTAGATTCTGAAGTGAGAGTTTTTGTGTAAATTAACTCAGCTTATGGGTCAAATGCACCAGCTCCCTCAGTGTCTGCCTTTTGAGCATCACTGAAAATGGGACCTCAGTTTCTCTCTTCAGCGACTAGCACAGTACTTGGCATGAACTGGGAAAGCTATGGATGTGTCAAGGACGTGGGCCACCTCACGATAGGCAGGAGCGTCCAGCCTAGAGAAGAGTGCGAGGCCTTTAGGGCAAGCCAACTGCCGTGCCTCAAAGCTGGGGCCACCAGTGAGCATCTGTCCCATAGTGTGTTCAGTTTGCTGATGGTCGGGTAACTGGAGGAGTGTTTGGGGGTTGATGGCAAATTTGGAACAGGAGCACGCTCTTATGGTCTCTGCCCCGTGTTTCCCACTACTCCTCCCACACTACCCCTGCATGGCCCTTGGGGGCACAGCAACATTTTCTTAGTGGCCCTGGTACTATCTAACTGGGGCAGTTATTAAATAGGTAACTCTAACCAACTTAAGTACTTCTGCCCTAACAACCTGGTAGCTATTTGAAAAAGCAATACCTATAAATGGAAAGAATAAATATTTTTATTTCATTTTTAAACATTGCCACATATTTCTGCAGGATGTGGGTCCCTGCCGGGCACTGCCCGGCCTCTCACACCGCCACCTCTTTTCCTGTTCTACACTGATTTTTCACCCGGTAGTTGCCTTTGTCACTGAAAACCCAGCTTTGCAAAGATACAATGTCTTAGAGGGAAAGTCACGCCGTCTAGTGTGGAAACTGAACGATCTGAGCTCGTGGTTCACGTAGCGGCTAACAGATGTGGAGTCTTGCCGTGTCCCTCTCAAGTGTCAAGTATTCTGTGGTGTGCCTGTGAGCTGGCTGCTGCTTCCCTGGGCACCCCAGTGCATGAAAGCTGAAATTGTTGCTCCACTGAATCCTGGAGTGCCCTTTTAGGAACACTGGGGAGCACAGAGCCCTGGCCGTCAGAGTGTGGGAGGGAACTGGCATCACACGGGGGTCGTACTTTCCAGGGGTGCAGAGCGCTGCAGCTCACGTCCTACACTCCACTGCCAGGTGCCAGCGCTGTGGTTACTTTAATAAAGCAAGTCTCTCGAAGAGTAGAGTCCTTCTAATACATCTCAGTGAGACGAGGAATAATCACGAAAATCTTTTGAATCACACTGGAGCACTCTGGTTCCCTCATGCAAAGTCACACATTTTTTCTTTTACTAAAAAGTTGTAATGTCCCCAATTTGCTGACCCTTTTCTGTGACTGCACATTAGTGTGGTACCTTGTCCTTCAAAGTAAAGGTGATGTTTAACAGTGAGTGAGATGCTAACTCGTCTTCAAAAGATTTTGTTTTTAAAATTCTTTTTTGTTAAAGATACAAAAACACAGCAACTTCTGATGAGTCTTCCTAAACAAGTGACTGACGTCGGTGGGGTGGGGGGGTGGCAGTTTATCAGCAGAATTTCAATAAAGATCTTACCATAAGCAGAAGATACTTTTAAAAATTAGTATGACGATTTAATAAATGAAGCTGAGAATATGGTTCTTCTTGAAAGAGTCAGTGTGGGGCGCCTGGGTGGCTCAGTGGGTTAAAGCCTCTGCCTTTGGCTCAGGTCATGATCCCAGGGTCCTGGGATCGAGCCCCGCGTCGGGCTCTCTGCTTAGCGAGGAGCCTGCTTCCTCCAATCTCTCTCTCTGCCTACTTGTGATTTCTGTCTGTCAAGTAAATAAAAATCTTTAAAAAAAAAAAAAAGAAAGAAAGAGTCAGTGTAACTTGTGAAGAATTTTTTCACCTAGCGTAGCCATTACACCAAGCAGTAAAATAATTTAGAACCAATTGTTTTGTCCCCAGACATAAAACAAAAGATTGGCTACATAATACAGGGCTCTCACACTGACAGCCCAAAATACTTTTTATTTAAAGTTTAATAAAATATTTTTAAATGCTTTCTTTTTTACCTAAAGAACGTTAAGTGAAAAGTACCTCTGTGTACTTAAGTGTGTGAGGACGCCCATTCTGGAAGAGACTAGGAGTCATTTAAGCTGGATGGCAGTTCTTCAGTTCTTTTTCAGGTCCCTAGGGGTCGCAGCGAACTCTGGCACTGTGGAGAGTAAAAAAGGTGCTCTGGTGGGTGGGCTTTGCTGATCCTTGTTTGTGCCAGGGCAGGTCTCTCATTAGCTTTTTAATTTTTTTTAATATTGATGTTGCATTTAACATTTGCTTGAAAAAAGTCTGCAGCAAATAATTTTCAAGTGAAGTGTGGAGACCACTGTTGCTGCTGCCCAGTACTACTTGTCTACTGCACCATGGAGCCTTTACCGTGATGTAGACCCAGCACGCTTTGCTCAAAGCCAGTGCAAAGCTTCAGAGCCTGTCATGACAATGAGCTTTAAAATTGTTTCCCTGTTTCCTGTCTTTACCAACTAGCCGAGGTTTGTCCTCCCTAAATGATTGAAATTCTTCCTCTTTTGTCAAGCCTTCTCCAACGATGGGAAGAGGTGATGTAGATCCTCAACGCACAGGTTCCCTGACCGATGCTTTACTGCCCGTGCAGTGAGCACATTAGTCTTTTATCTGTACATAGAGGTTTAGCGGTATACATAGAGGTTTAGTGGTTCAGTGTTCAAGTGTTTGCACCTGGATCACATTGTACGCTGTAAGTGGGGGAGTCTTTGGTTGTTAAACTCTCTTTGTGTCTAGACCAACCCTAGTGTTGCTCCGTCATAACGAATGAGTAACCGGGATCAGGCGCACAGTGTTACCTCCTTCACTCTGCTAGCT